AGCTGGGGCTTGACTTCAGGCCTGCTGATTCCAAGGCCAGTGCCTTTGTAATTTTCTCATTGTATCTAAAATTCGTTTTTTCATTCAGCAACCACTTTTTGAATATTTCCTATGTGCAGGAAAGTTTTTAGAATGCTGAATGAAACCTTGGCTATATGAAGAAAAGAGACTAGAAATGTTTTCAGGGCTTTCTGTATGATTGATACTATGCCCTGTGTCCACCTCCATCAACCCAGGTATCTTTACATCAACACTGTGAGATATAATTACCACCTAACCCCACGTCACATCTCTGTGGAGCAAAGGAAGCCTGAGAGCTGTCCAGCGAGTCGGCCAATAGAAGACCTCGTGGTAGGGCTGGGTTTGGTTCCAGGTCCAAAATCTGTGTTCTTAATTATGCTGCCTCTGCCATAGTTGTGACTCTGTTAACAGCCATAAATTCAACTCTGTTAGATCCAGTAAATTTAAAGTAGAAAATCATTTTCCCAATGAAACCACACTTAGAAAAAAACGATGTTAATGTGCATACATTCTACCCTCATTATGACATCAGCCTCCAAGCCAAACTATTCTGCACGTTATAAAGAGCTGTTTTTATGATGAATGGTGATTATATTGGCACTTTAATTGAGTCAGAAACCAAGGTACATGAATGTTAGTGCATGAGAAATGCAATAAAAAAAAGCTGTTCAATGTGATTGGAATATATCAGATTAATTTAATACCACTTTTAAAGACTTCAGGTCCATACCTTTAAATATATTTAATCAAAATTGTTGAATTAAATATTTACATGTATATGTATATACATACACACACACACACACACACACACACACACACTGCCCCTTAAAAAATCTCTTCCTTTTCTTATAGTTAGTTTCCTATCACATTCTTAATGGATCTTATGTATAGTAAATTTGGATTTTAGGTCTGTGATCAAAATTCTTTCTTTGTCATAGGAATGGAAGTGTAGCCCTCATATTCAAGTTAAGTAATCCAGAAGGTTAGCATATATTTGGACAAAATGGTGTAAACTTAAAAAAACACTTTATACAATAAAGCTTTGTTTTTTTTGTTGTTTTGTTTTTTTTTTAACTAAATATTGGTTCATTTTCAGCCATATTTAACTATTTATTTGATTTCTTTTATTCTAGTTTAAATTTGTCTATGATTTTTTTTTTAAAAGCTTAATTTACATGTCCTTAAAATTAGTACTTGTATTTGATTGATTTAGTATTCCGCAAATTAAAGAAATTTAGTTTTAATTTTAATATAGGGCTCATGGTTTCCTTATGGTCAAATTGCAGTGTTAGAGAAAGAATATGGTATTTAAATAATTGAGTCAAACTGGAGGCCTTGAGACAAGTCCGAGGTCCGTGGGCTTTCTGAAAACAAGATGTCCCTTAGTTGGCCCCGACTGGTCAGCATGAGAGTTAGTGCCGCGAGCGGGGTCAGTGAAACGTAGCTGGGCTGAGTGTTGGAGGCGTTCACCTGGCCGATCGTGGCGCGGCCTGGCACGCCGTGACTAGCGTGGCGAAGCGGGCGGTAGCTCATTCCCGTCAGCTACTCTCGGCCGCGAGTGCACCGAGGGCTCCTTTCGGCATAAACTCCTATTTCCTCTAATGCTTCTGCAGACAGGCAGTGAAGCCCTTTTAGATTCGGAGTGTTTAAAGAGCCGTTCTTGCCAGTGGTTGATTTGGAGCCAGCTTAAATGTTTATAAGAATTCATAAAACAAAGCAAAGTTGAGGATGGGCCTTGGCTGTTACCCTGTCGTCCTCCCGCTGAAATTCTCCTCCGGGTCTTAGACACCACTGCCCCCGCCACAGGGACCGCACCGCAGTGTGACAGTGTGACAGCTGCTCCGCACAGGGCCGAATGCAAGGATTTGAACTTTTACATCCAGAGCCTCTCGGTGATGCTAGCGCCCCGCTCCCGCTTTCAACATGCGGTGTTAACATAAACACTACCACTGTGTTTGCGGCTGTGGGCAAGTCCCACGTTCCCCAGATGGCGTCACATGAGAAGGTGTCGACACAAGACACGTCCAAACCTATAGAGAATTTTTATGAGTTTATTTGAGCCAAACTGATGACAATTGCCTGGAAGCAAAATCTCAACGGGTTGAAAAAATGCTCTGGAGAATGGCAGTTTTGCAGCTTATTTTATACATTAGAATCAAAGGAGGGGACGTAAGGAGGGTTACATGAAATTCGTTGATGATAGATTAAGGGGGCGGGAGAAAGCAAAGCGGGGTGGAGGTTGGGGGGTACTGGTGAGGTGAGGTGGGGGGTGGAATCTCTGGGATTGGCTAAAAAGGCAAAATTTAGAAACACATACTACTTTTTCATTGTTGAGTACAGGACAGTTAGTACACAGAGATGGTATGTGGGGACCAAGATAACAATGAGGGGTTCTGTGGTCTCCTGCTGTGGTGGGAGATTGTGCCCTGAGGGATCTGGAAAAGGAGATTAATCTGACATTTCAAAGGTATGCTATCTTTAAGATGCAAAAAGATAATAGGCGGGCTCAGTGAAGGTAAAGGTTGGCTTTGGTGAAGGAAGCTACAGGCCTAGGACTTGACTACCTGCTGTGACCAGCTCTTAGGCAGGAATCTTCATGTTCAGACCATCCTATGTGGCTACTTTCATTCTCTGAGACTGTAAGGCCGCGACACAGGTTTTCCCCCACGTGGCTACTTTCATTCTCTGAGACTGTAAGGCCGCAACACAGGTT